CGCTAGGACCCCTTCAGTGCAAGCACTGATTGGGGAATCTTTCTCGTGGCGCAAGCGCCGACCAGACCAGCAGGGGGCAAGAGGTGCGCATGCGCGGTCGCAGGGCACCAACGTGGCGCCGGCCCGCGGCGGCCTGCCCCGGTCTCCGCGCCTCTACGCGGCGCCCGAGGATGGCGGCGCGCACCCAGGGAGCGTGGCGCAAAGGGGGGGGGAGGGGCGGCCATCCCCAAGAGGGCGGCGGGGCTGCTGAGAGGGCGCGGGGGCTGCCGAGGAGGCCCCTTGGAAGCCCCAGGGCGCTCCCGAGAGGGCAGCTGCCTTCCACGAAGCTCCCCCCTCCCCCTGCCTTCATACAGGGTCGCCCCACCCCACCCCCCTCGCGCTCCCCCCCCCTTGCACGCGCCGCCGATGATGCACAGGCGCCGTAGCTTGTCACCAGCGGCTGCGTCATCAACTGCTGAAGCGCCGACTCGCGAGTGCCCTCCTGCCCGCGGCGGCGCCGCTTCTTGCGGAGATCGGCGCACGCGCACTGCGATGGCGGCCACTGCGCCAACTGATAGCCCCAGCTTTCGGTCTCGTGGGCATCAGCGACCTGCTGTCCCGCGGCTTCCAGGGCAGCCGCGGCAATCCAACCGCTGGCGAGTAGCAGAAACAACATTACGATCAGCATGCACGAGTATCCTAGAAACGGCAAACGACTATTGAACGCAAACGCAACGGCAGTTTTGAAACCCGACCAAGTATTCAAAATTAAACATACTCGCACGTACACTACTACCAAGAGGCCAACCTTACCGGCCATTGCCAGCACAGATTTCGCGCGCGTGCGGCCACCTTTCCCCAAACTTGCCACTGGGGTGATGAGAATCGCTTGGAGGTCATGTACTGCGGTGCCAAGAATCAACACCGAAAATCCATGGCTTATGGCCAGGCAGACGATAAACACGGTGAGGCGAAACGCCTCAGAGTCAGCAGATGGCGTATGCAAATCCTTCAAGAGCGGTTTTAACTCAGGAAGTGCTTCACGGATCATTGGCATGGTAATGCGTTCATGGAATGTATCCTGATCCCATTTGGTGAGGGAGACAAGATTCTGAGATGATACAATGTCCACAACGCTGTGTTCAAGCTTCTCCACGAAATTATGCCAAGATGACACGCCTGATACGATGATAAATGAGATCAGCACCGCTCCGATTGATAGCACACCGTCCAAAACGACATGCAAATACAACATGGCTTTCTGCAGAGGCCGGAGAGAGCGGAAATGCGGCGCTTGTTCAGCTATTGCTTTGGCCGCAGTCAGGAACTGAAATAAAGCATACAGAAGATTCTGCCGGAGGGGGCCCACAGCGAACCCAAGCATGAACCGAGTACCTGATCGACCTGCGTCTCCTTTGAACCTCCTGAAGCCATCACCATCTTTGAATAGACGGATCTCCTCTTTGCGCGCTCCCTTCGACACGGCGATATCCAGAGATGAGGGGGTAGAGATCTTGTACCACTTCAAAGCGACATCGATCATTGGGTTCTGGCTCAGTATGTTCCAAGCTTTGGTGCAAGCAGTTTCCCGCGCTTCTACTATGAAGGCCGCAAATCCATCGAACGTCACGATGTCTTCCGACAGAGCTCCCCACTGCGGGGTGCGGTCGAAGTACTCCGACAAACTGTGCACCTCGGAGACGACTCGCGGTCGCGGTTCCTCCAGATGTCCGGCTTCACGAAAGAGAGGAACTAACAAGTCTTGTACACCTCTGTGCTGAATCCGACACCGCGCCAAAGGCACGGAGTGGAGTGTCCTCGGGCCCCCTGGAGTTTCTGTATCGAATATTTCCTCTCTGGAATTGGGGCCCATCCGCCTCCTCCGCCTTCTCCTCCTCCTCCTCCTACTCCTTTTCCTCCTCCTCCACCTCCTCCTCGACGTCCTCCTCGTTTTCCTCCTCGTTTTCCTCCTCCTCCTCCTCCTCCTCCTCCTCCTCCTCCTCCTCCTCCTCGAGCGCCTCCTAACTGCCGAATCTCGCGGGGCTTGTCGTCTGGCTTCTGGGGTCTGGCGCATGACCTGTCCCGAGGCAGGAGATCACCAAGACGGACTGAGAGAGTCCCCAGAGGATCCCGAGACGGTCCATCTGGTCTCTAAGTTCAGGTCGGGCGTGTCCCCCTACAGGCGGATGTTGGACGACAAATTCAAAAATGTCAAAAAATGCTCAAACATTGTCAAACATTTTCGAAACATCGTCCCCATCCGATGTTTTTGACCATTTTTGAATCTTCCTCCTGTAGAGGGACATGCCCGACTGAACTCTAAGTCGGCCACAGCAGGCCCCTGAGACAGGCCAACATGCCTTCCAGACGGCCCACGAGCCCCCCCCAGGATGCTCTCTAAGAGGGCCTCACGTGGATCCTCCAGACGGCCTAAAGGGGCCCAAATGACTATGTCCCTTAAGCCTTCGAATGATATTTGCATTCTGACCAATTCGGGCTTCCAACGCGCCAAGAGTGCCCACGAGGCACCATGCATTGCAAGACGGCCTAAGAGGCCCCCAACAGTGTCCCAAGACGGCCAAAGAAGGCCCTAAGACGGTCCATGAGGCTCCCAAGTTGGCCCTAATGGGCGGCCTTGCGAGTCTTTCCTGAAATTATTGCCTCCAGAGTGTCTAAAAAATGCCCCCAAGATCCCCCCCAGAAGCGACCCAAAGGCCCCAAGAGACCTGAAACGAAAAGCCTCCTAGAAAGCCCTTCGCAAGAAGGGTAAAAGGCGTGCTGTGTGATAACCGTTTAAACCGGTGGTCTCTGGCTCAACCCACAAGCCCACAGAAAAACCCGCCGACCCTGTCGGCGTGTGTGAGGGGCTTGTCCATTCAAGTCGTTATCTCCGTCATTCGTTGGTCGTCGTCTCTGTCGTCCCCTTTCCCTGCCTCCCCCTTTCCCTGGGCTCGTCGAAGCTCCCTCCTTTCCCAGGGACCTCCTCAGCGCGCCAACCAAAGCGAAATTGAGCAACGTCGTAATTGAGTCGAAGGGAAGCCCCTTACCTTCGATCCCTCCCCCGCCGGGGGGGGTCCCCGGGGGGGGTCCCAGGGGGGGGTCCTGGGGGGGGGGGGGGGTCAGATACGACGCCCCCCTGGGGAGTCCCGGAGCTCAAAAAGCTCCAAGACGGGCCAAGAGTGCCCCAAGAGGCCCCAAAGAAGACAGTCCAAGAGAACCCCGAATCGCCGAACGATCTGTCCAAGACGCCTTGACAGCCTCCAGACGGCCCAAGAGGCCTGCAAAGCGCCCCAAGAGGCCTCCGGGAGCTTTCCCACGAGAGCCCCAAGAGGCAACATTCATGGATTGCCCATACGTTTTTGAAAGATTTTGGCGTTCTTGCCTCTTCCGCTTCCCGACGCGCCAAGACGGCCCAAGAGGTCCCCAAAATCGCCCCGAGACGGCCAAGGAGGCCCCCAAGAGGGTCCCCCAACGGCCGAAGAGAGCCCAGGAGAGCCCTAAATTGCCCAGGAGGCCTCCAGGAGTGCCTCGAGACGGCGCAAGAGGAGCCCTGGACGGCCCAAGACGGCCTCAAGAGAGTCCCAGGCTGTCCCAAGAAAGCCTCTGGCCTCCTCCTCCTCCTCCTCCTCCTCCTCCTCCTCCTCCTCCTCCTCCTCCTCCCCCCCTCTGCTCCCCCTCCTCCTGCTCTCCTCTGCCTCCTTCTCCTCCTCTTGCTTCTCCTCCACATCCTTCTCCCCCCTCCTCCTCCCTCATCCCTTTCCTCCACCTCCCACTCATCCTCCTCCCCCTGCCCCCCCCCTCGTTTTCATTTTCGTCGTTCTCAGGGTGGGCGGCACCTGCCGTAAGGCCTTCGCAATATGTCTCGCAACGCTTCCAAACGGGCATTTCGCCTGAGACGTCCTCACCAAATTGCTAAGATGACTCCAAGACGCCCCCGAGGCCCTTTGTGCCTTTGGGGCTTCCGACGTCCTCTGGCTGCCCAAAAAGCTTCTAATATATCCCGAAGACAAGGCAAGACGCCTCTCAGAGAGCCCCAAAACGAACCAAGCAACCCCCCAACGGCCCACAAGCCCGCCAAGTTCGCCCCGCAAGGGCGCCACGACGGCCCCCTGATACCTGAAGACGGCCATAAGGCGCCCCAAGACGGCCCAGTGAGGCCGCCAAGTCGGCCTCCGAAGCCCAAGATGCCCCTCAGAGGATCGCCATTGGCCCCCAAGGAGCCTTCAGGATGCCCCCAAGGGGCCTTCGCCAGGAGGCCCAAAGAGGCCTCGTGAAGCCTTTTCTCCCTCGCCCCCTTCCAAGGTTTTCCACGACGGCTGTGGGAGCACAGAGCCCCGTAGCTCGGCAACACTTCGGCCAAACGCTCAGCCACGCAGGCGCTGACGAAAGGCAGAGGGCGGCGGTGGCTCGCCGCACACGGCCTCGATCCGCCGCCCCCCGTGGCAAGCGGAGGGGTGCTCGACGTGTCGAAAATTGATGCTCGTTGGTCAGCCGATGCTGTCGGCCCGCATCAGAATCACAGGGATGCGCGATGAGGATGCAAGGGCCTCGGACGCCCATTTCGAAGCTTTTCGAGCGGGGCGCGGCCAACGAGAGTGGCCAAGGATGGACCGAGGAGGCAAGGATGCAAGGGTACCCTTGGGAAGGTTGCTCATCCTTACTGTGCGGGTTGAGTTCAAATTTCCCGATGGACTCCGGCCCTGCCTGCCGGCCACCTGGAAACCACGAGAACATCTCCCATCGGCCTTCCCGCCCAAGATGCATCCAAGACAACTTCTAAGGTTGCCACGATGGCCAAGAGGGCCGCTGGTACGGCCCAAGAGTGCCCAAAGAGGCTTGACGTTCTTTGCACTGTTTGACATATTTTCGCGCTTTCGCCTAACAGGGCCCAAGAAGCCTCGAAGACGGCCCGAACGATCCCGAAAGCGCCCATAGGCCCAAGAGGCCTCGATGAAGGACCCAAGACGGCCCAGTGAGGCCCTCAAGATGGCATCCGAAGGCCAATGGGCCCCACGTCCCACAAGAGACCCCAGAGGCCTCGGGAGGCACAAAAGAGGTCCATCACAGGTCCCAAGACGTACCAAGAAGGCCTCAAGAAGGCCCCAAGGAACCCCCGATAGGGGGCACCGTTTCATCCTCTTCTTCCTCCTTCTCCTCCCTTCCAGTGTCCCACCAAGAGTTTCCACAACGGCTGGGGGAACACATAGTCCTGTGGCCTGGCCAAGGTTTGGTCCAACGTTGGCCACATCGGCTCATCCAGAGCAGCAGGGTGCGACGGCGACTCGCCGTAGGCGTCATCGATTGTTGAAAGCGGGGGCATCAGCACACGTTCAAACTCTGATTCCGCCTGAGCTCCGTAGTTTGCATCGAAACGTATTGCCATCATAAGGCACAGCTCCTCGACCTTGTATGCCATGATGTAGCGGACGGCAATTACAACCCCGATCATGGCGGAGGGCATGCCGCGGAAGTAAGCGTTTCGCTGCCGCAGTGCAGGGATGTCGGCAGCTTTCGCATCGTGCCCCTGAACATAGTGCATGCCCTGAGTGAGGATGAAATACGGCGTATCTAGGTCGACGGCTGTGATCACAGCTTTCCGCAAGTCCCGACGGCACCCTTCTTCGGCTGGGTACAAATAGTGGTGCGCGCCGATGCAGCTGGTAGCAACCACTCCGAGCAGATTCACCGTCAGCAGTAGGTGACAGTAGGGACTTGGCCGCCAATAGGCGCCAGCACTTGTAGGACCGAGAAGCGACGACACCTCAACGAGCGATGACTCCTTTTAGGGGGACGCCGACTGTACACTCGCCAGCGATCCTGGCCAAGTTAAAGCTGGATCCAGGATCGGTACACACGCCCCCAATGGCATGGCCAGGGCATCGTGTGCACAAATCCAGGCCCCCCCAGAATCCCCTAGACAGAATCGGAGCTGGCGCACAGGCGGAATCCCACGATCCTTCACGACAACCCACCACTGCCCTGCCCACGCCAGGAGCGTCGCCGCGAGGTTGAACGACAAGAGTGCGCATGACCACCGTGAGAATTGGGGGGGGGGTTGGGGGGGGGGGGGGGCGCCTGCCCCGCAAGGTCCATCGGCATCTGAAGCCCGAACTGCCCAAGTCGAAGCGGTTTGGGCCCGTACGGCTACGCATGGACACGAGGCAGGGGAGAAGCAAGGGAACAGGAGGGGCGGCAGCCCCGACGTAGGCCTCGGCGGCGTCAGCGCTTGCCGCCCGTCGAGCCCCAAACGCGCGAGAACGCACACAAAAGAAAACCACGAACAATACGAGCCACACAACGAAGCACCATCCACAAAACAATGGAGTTCGGAAACCAAGTCATAGGATTATCCAGGACGGCTCGTCCGAATTCGTATGGTGTTGTGTTGTTGTTTGACTGGTGTGTGTGTGTGGTCTTGGTTGTGTGTTGCTGTGTTTGTTCGAGTTGTTGGTTTGTTGGTTTGCTTGTTTGGTGTTTAAAGGCGGCTGCGGCTGCGGCTGCGGCTGCGGCTGCGGAGGAGGAGGAGGAGGAGGAGGAGGAGGAGGAGGAGGATAAAGGACCTGAGGAGAAGAAAGCGTGCAGAGGGAGCGACCCCTGGGACTCTCACGCTATCCAGACCTTGACCTTGACCCTCAGACCACAACACTCACCGTAACCCAAAGACCCCAACTCCGCGGCCCTAACGCTGACCCAAAGAGCCTCTGGCCCGAAGACCTAGCCCGCATACCGAAACCCTTAGACCCTAACCCTAATACCCTGATGCCCAGCTCGAAAGCCCGAACCCTGAAGGCCCGAACCGTGACCATGAGGCCCTAACCCTATGACCCTGACCCTGAGGCCATAACCCAGCGAACTGAACCCTAACCCTAAACCCTTACTCCCCAGACCCCAACATGAATACCCACACCGATCCTAACCCTAACCCGAAGCCCCTAAGACCCTTAGACCCTAAGGCTAAGCCAACGATCCGAACCTTTAGACGACGACCCTAACCTGAAGACCATAACACTAACCCTGAGACACGAACCCTAATCCCAAGACCCAAACCCCCACCGCAAGACCCGAATCCGATGACCTTAATCCTAACCCTAAAGACCCGAACCATCACACGGATAACCAAACCCTAAGACCCAAACCCTGAGACCCCAAACCCGAGATCCGAACCCGAACCCCTAGACCCCAACCCAAAGACCCGAACCCTGAGCCTAAGACCTTAATCATCATCTCAGATCCTAAACCTAATATGATGGGCCTGCTTCCACCACCACCACAAGTTGGAGGGGGAGGGGGGTCCTCCTCCTCCTCCTCCTCCTCCTCCTCCTCCTCTTCGTCCTCCACATCCTTTCCCCTCCAACTCATGGTGGTGGTGGTGGTGGAACACAGGCCCATCATAATACGCTAATCCTCATACCCTCATTCTAACCCGCCTACCCTAGCCCTAGCCCGAAGACCCGCACCCTGACCATGACACCCTGCTCGTAGGACCCCAGCCCTGATGCCCGAAAACCAAACTTTCACCCTGAACCTGAAACCCGAAAGCTAGGGCCCTAACCCTAAGAACCCACCTCCCAACCCGAACAGCTTACCCCCAGACCTAAGATCCCAACCTTAGGACCCGAATCATCATCTTCAGACCTTCACCTGAACACCCTCGCCCAAACAATAAGTCCCGAACCCTGTGACCCTAACCGGAATACCCTAACCCGAAGACCAGAACCCGAAGACACAAACAGGAATATCAAAACCGTAGACCTAAGAGCCCTGCCTAACTCTAAAACAAAAAACGTAAGACCTTACTCCTAGACCCTGACCCGAATTCAAACCCCGATACCCTCCCCCCTTGATCCTCATCCCCAGATCCTAGCCCTAACCTTTAGACTCGAACTCTAACCCTCAGATGCCAATCATAATAACCTTAAATAACCTAACCCTAAGGCCCTAGCACTACGACCCTCGCCCTAACCGTAAGTATGTAACACTAAGATGCTGACCTCAAGATCCTAACACTACACTAAGACCCTACCCCTCAGACCCTATCCCTAAGACCCTGGCCCTAAGCCTAAGCCCTAACCCTAAGACCCTAGCCCGAAGACCACAACCCTAAGAGTCTAACCCGAAGAGCCTACCCCTAAGACATCGAGCCCAAAATGAGCCAGTTCTTATTGACCAAGTGCGTCTTTGGCTTTGCAGGCAGGAAATGTTCCCAAATACACCATGTGTGGCGCCTTTTGCCCATTACACCTGACCCCCGCCCCCCCAATTCCCGACCCCCGGCTCCCGGCCCCCGCCCCCCCTCCCGCCCGAGCGCGGTTGCGGGATCGCGCGGCAGCGCAACTGGATATATATATATATATATATATATATAATATAGATATGTATATATACATATTCATATATGTAAAGACGGAGATAAGTATAGACACATGCCATATAAATATACACATACATATACACACATATGCGTATATACATGCATCCATACATAAATGCCTGCATGCCTGCCTGTCTACCTACATACATACATGCAGATAGACACACATAAACATACATGTATTCATTAATTCATTCATTCATGCATACAATCGTGCAGACATGCAAATATGAATGCACGCATACGTGCATACGTGCATACATGCATGCATGCACATATGCAGACATGCATGCATGTATACATGCATGAATGCATGCACGCATACATACATGCATCCACACTTGCATATACATGTACATGTACATACATACAGACATACAGACAGGCATACCGACTTATACATGGAAATACCTGCATACATACGTACGTACAAACGTACACACATGCATGTATACAAACACACATACCGACATACATACATACATACATACATATATATATATATACATGCATACATACATACATACATACATACATCCATACATATACATACATACATACATACATACATACATACATATATACATACATACATACAGTACATTGTATCGATACTGACATACATACATACATGCATGCATGCATGCATGCATGCATACATGCATACATACATACATACATACATGCATAACTACATACGCACAACCGATCTCTATATACACACACGACAACATTGGCGCTTCGCGACATGCACCTTGGTACTTCTAGTTTTGCAGATGTTGGCTCTTCGCACCATCCTGTCTGGCCCCCGAATTGTGGCCGTACCCCCTTGAATATCGTCCTTCGTGCCGTTTTTGCTATCCTCCTCGCTTTACACATTCGTGCGGCACCGAGATGTTTCTTTGGTCGCGCTTTGCGCCGGAGTTCGAGGCGGACCCGACAACGTGGCGACAATAACGCCACTGGAGGCTCCGACAGAGAAGACAGCAATCTAAAAACATAGAGTGTCGAACCTCGAACCTGCATCCTGGGGTTATCTTGGAACTCTCTCTGGGCGTCGTGGGGGCCTCTTGGGCCGACTTGGAGCCATGTTGGGCGTTTAGGAGCGCTCTTGGGCCGCCAAGGAGTGTTTCTTGAATCGTATTGGGGTCAACTTGGGACCGACGGTGGACCATCTGCACGTTTCGGCCACGACTTGAATTGCTGGTCGCGGGGGTCTGTCTTGAGGGCATCTAGGGCCGTCTTCGGCCCTTCTTGGACTATCCTGGGGTCCTTTGGGGGGGATTTTCTGGGCCGTCTTGGAGCAATCTTGAGCGCATTTGGGCCGTCCTGGAGCCCTGGAAACCAGAAACAAGTGGGGGTGCCGAAAAGTTACCAAAACGTGCACCTTGGAGTCCCGAAACGGCGCGGTGACAGACCGTGCGGTGACCTCGAAATCCCCCAAGACCTCACCGCACGGTCTGTCACCGCACGGTCTTGGGACCCCGGAGGCCCCCGTCGCCCGAGACATCCTCGGAGAACGACCTGGGTCCCAAAACCGTGCGGTGACCCCGAATCCCCACCGACTCACCGCACGGTGTGGTCACCACCCCGTTTGGGGATCCCAGAACATAATGTTCATATCTTATATATATATATATATATATATGTATATACAAGACTGCATTGGCGCTTCGCGCCATGCGCCTTGCTCCTTGTGTGTTCGAATGCAGGCGGCGTGCACGCGCGCGGACGTGGGGACGGCCACCGCCAAGTCGGAATGGGTCAGGTTCTCCTAAGCGGGAGCGACTTGACAACGCCATCTGGCCAGCTCAGGGCGTTTCTGTGCCCAGAGGCGCAGGTAAGTCTCAGGCGACTGGCTGGGGCAGCATGATGCAGGGCGTCCTCCTCCTCTTGCTCTTCCTCCGCATGGTCCTTCCCCCTGAGAGGAGTCCTCCAGAGGTGGAAGGCCTCCCCGACAGTCAAACTGCATTGACGAAACGCTTCGAGGCCGCAAGAAGCTGACGGCTGGCCCAGCTGGGCCGGGAGTGTCGGAAATCCAAAGAAACCTATAGGAAAAAACATGTCTTCAGCCGTTTCGTGTTTTCGCTTCCTGTTGTCGCTTCCAATTCTCTCGAGGCGTCTAGATGCGTCCGAGACGGTTCCAGATGAGTCCCCAGACGAGCCCCAAAGAGACCCAAGGCTGGCGCAACTGGGCCCGGAGAGTGGGTCCCAAGGACGGGCAAATTTAGGAAAATCATTGGAAAAGCAAGGTTTTTGGTCTTCTCGCCTTGACGCTTCCGATTAGCTCTTGAGGCGTCCAGACAGCTCCAAGACGTCTCCAAATGAGTCCCCAGGCGAGCCCCAAAGAGGCAGAAGGCTGGCGCAACAGGGCCTGGAGATGGCGCAACTCGGCCCGGGGAGTGGGGCCCAAGAATGGACAACTGTAGGAAAATCATTGGAAAAGCGAGGTTTTTGGTCTTCTCGCCTTGTCGATTCCGATTGGCTCTTGAGGCGTCGAGACAGCTCCAAGACGTCTCCAACTGAGTCCCCTGACGAGTCCCAAAGAGGCCCAAGGCTGGCGCAACAGGGCTCAGAGAGTGGAAAAAGCAGAGAAAACACAATAGAAACGCAATGTTTTCGGCCTTCTCGCTTTTTCACTTCCGGTTGACTCGGGGGGCGTCCAGACGACCCCAGGACGGCCATAGGGGGGTCCTCGTGGAGCTCTCTTGGGGCGTTCTGGGGGACTCTTGGGCCAGCTTGGGGCCAACTTGACAGTCTCAGTACCCTTGATCAATTGTTTTGGGGGTCCTCGCCGGGCCACCGCTGACTAATTTGCACATCTCCGCAGGGACCCCCGAAGGCCCAGAAGTCCTGGGTGATCCTGTGGAGGAGCATCTAGAAGGCCCTCAGGGACAGAGATCCAGGTGGGGTCGTTTTGGGGGGGGGGGGGGGGCTTCCGCACCCCGGATTTTGAAACAAATATATAAATGCGCGTGTGATTGTGCGTGTGGTTTGTAATTTTCTCGTCTTTTCACTTCCGACTGGCTCTGGAGACTTCAGGATGGCTCCAAGATGGCCCAAGAGAGCCCCGAGAAGGGCCCAAGAGGGCCCCAAGAGCGCCAAAAGCGCCCCAGAGGCCCCAAGAGGAACATTTTCTGCCTCCGAGAGGGGGCAAGGGAGGGCGCAATTAAGAATCTTCCTTCTTGGATCGATGGCCTCCAAGGTGGCCCCCACAGCCCCCAAGAGGGCAACAAGAAGAGCACAAGAGGGCCCCAAGAGAGGCCCAAGAGCCAAGAGAGCCTGAAAGGCCTCCAAAATGGCCCCGAGAGTGCCCCAAGATGGCCCGAGCAAGCTGCCAGCAGGCTCCTCGATCGACAATGCGCGAAGGGATTGATCATTGAGTCCTGGGCCTGCTTGCGGTATATCGCGGCACATCTCAACTGGGCACCCGTCAAAACGTCTTTCTCTCAGCTCACGGATTCCCCATCTGCGCCCAACATCGCCCAGTCAGTGCTCCGTTCCTCCGCATTCCTCCTCCTCCCTCTCCTCATGTTCCTCCTCCTCATCCTCTTCGTTCTCCTCATCATTCTCCTCCTCCTCTTCTTCCTCCTCCTCCTCATCATCACCACCATCATCATCAGCGCACCACCACCAGCGACAGCAGCATCAGCATCAGCATCAGCATCAACATCATCATCAGCATCATAATGTCCAGATGCACTATTAATAGTTCCTCCTACAAGGCCACCGAGCCAGCAGATGGCCGCCACGTCCAGAACGCCCCATCCTACCAGTCCACCAAACAATACAAAGTATACGTGCTCCTTTTCAGCATGGTCGTTTCGGCGCAGCGTTTCAAAATGCGTGGCAGGAACGGGACAGGGCGCACACTGCGCGCGAGGAGGCGACACGCCTCTCTGGCATCGGCGCCGCGCTCGTCTCCCTGAGAGTTAAACTCCCACATGGGCGCGACGCGAATCTCTCGTTCGCCAAATCGTCGACAGCGGGGTCGCGCGAGTGGGCGATTTTGATGTATTTTGTCCCGTCCGGCACGGTCCGAGGACAAGCGTGAATGCCAAGCTCGATCATGAGGAATACTGCGCATCTGGATATCAGGCCGCTCGCTTGCGCGGCACCCCTGACAAGAACAGCCGCCGGCGGCCGAGAAGCCAACAGAGCACACAGATGCGAGCGCAGCCAGGATTAAACGAGTGGAGGATCGAGGCGAGATATTGAGCAGGGACCGACCGTCCTAGTCCTACCACGAAATGTTCTTAGAACCCCAAAAGGTTCTATGAACGAACACACTGTTCTTGTAACATAAGCCCGATGTGGTAAAACAGGACATACTCCGCCACAAACGGGTCCCTGGAACCCTGCTCGGCAGGGCCGTGGGCGAGCCAGGACGCTCCGCCCCTTCGCCCCGGCGCCGCGCAGAGCTCCCCCGCAAGAGGCGGTCCCGTCTCGGCGCGGCGCCCTGCGGGCGGGGCCGCTCGCGAGATGGGCGCCTCGCCGCCGCCCCCCCCCCTTTGGGCCACCCCCCCATGGTGCCCCACGGGCAGGCCTCGCCCGGGGAGGGGCGCTCCCGCTTCCGGGGCGCGGCGGCGCGTCGTCTGCGCCGCCGAGCTCGGCGGAGACCTGGCCGCCCGAAAGAGACGCGGTCTCGGCGCCGCGCCGCGCCAGGAGCCTCGGGACTGCCGCTCCCGCCCGCGCGCTGCCCGCGTGCCAGTCTCCCCACGCCAGGCCGTCGGGAGCGGGCCCGCGCGCGAGCGCCCTCCGTTCGCTGATCGAGTGGGAGCGCGCTCCGAGCCCAATGTCAGGCTGTGCCACACTTGATTCTCATGCCCTGGGAGGGAGGGGCGGAATGGGCGGGCCCGCTGACTCACTCGACCTGGCCTACCTGACTCCGAGTGGGCGGGCCCGCTGACTCGTTCGACTTGGCTTATGCTTGGCTCCTCTACTCATGCTTCTACTTCTCCCCCCGCCACGCTCAGGGCCCCTCCCAGGTGGAAGCGCTGACGTCAGACGTATGCACAGACCCACCGAGCAGGAGGCGAGCGAGACCGAGAACCAGCAAAGGGCCGTGCGATTCGACACATTGGCAGCAACAGATAAAGGAGAACCAAAGACGGCATAAGCATACAGTCAACCCGTACAGCAAGGATGCGCGATGTAGGGATGCAAGGGCCTTGGACGCACATGTCGAAGCTTTTCGCGCGGGGCGCGGCCACCGGAAGTGGCCAAGGATGGACCGAGGAGGCAAAGGAAGCACGGGGCACCCTTTGAGGCTGCCCATCCTATCCTCAGTTACTACGTAATTATGCGGGCTGACTGTGAACCGACAGAGCTCCGAACAGACTTCTTAGATCGGCGATGGGCCGCCCTCCCTGGCGCGCGGACCGCGCCAGAGGCGGCGCAGGAGGCGCCGCCAGAGGGGCCCAGCGCCGATCCAAGAAATCCGCGCGGACCGTCGAGAGCTCGCATTATCCTCGTGCCGGCTTGTGTTCCTATCATTGACAGCCGCGTCGTCAGCCGCAGAGGCGGCGACGGCTGCAGCAGCGGCGTCGTCGTCGGCGGCAGCGGCGTCGGTGTCGTCGCCAAGGCCAGCGGCGGCATCAGCGCTGGCGCCTGAGCTGCCGGAGGGGCGGCGGCTGCGGCGGGCTCGGGCGGCTTCTGCTCCGGCGGCGGCGGTGCCCGGGGCTCTGCTCCTGGGCGTCGTCGGGGCGGCGGGGGCTCTGGCCGGGCCGCTCTGCCCTGCCGCCCCCCGCGGCTCTTGGCGGCCCAGGGATGGCCGATGCCAGCAGAGGTTCCGAGCTCAGACGAGGAAGAAGAAGAGGAAGAAGAGGAAAAAGAAGAGGGGGAGGAAGACAAATAATCATAATAAGAATGAAAATAAACATGAATGATAGTAATGATGATAAAAGAAATGATGCTAATAATAATAAGAAGATGAAGACAAATAATAATAAGAGTAATCAAAATAATAATAATAATAATAATAATAATAATAATAATACTAGTAATAATGATAATAATAATAACGATAATACCAAGACTAAGAAGAAGACTACAACCCCCTGGAATAAAAAGTCCGGACCGCAGAGGTCGGGGAATAAGCCTTGATGTTCGGCTCCCGTTAGGCCACGGGGCCCCGGTACAATGTTGCAGGGGCCGCCATAGTTAAATTTCTGGTCCGTCCTCACCCCCTCTAATATTATAATCGCCAAATGGGGTGACGACCGGAAATCCGCATTCCGCCTAATACTTCCTCCAAAAAAATTCCGGACGCTTTTCAGGCGACCGGAAATTCTCAGTGGCGACCGGAAATTGGCGATTTCGCTTGGGACTTCCTCGCAAATAAATTTCCGGTCCCAGTTATGTTGCTTGGAAGTTGCGATTCTGCCTGGTCCTTTTTGCCAGTCATGTTTACCTCTCGGGGAGCGACGATGCAAGGGGGCCTGCAGTGCCGATCCGGACTTTTTAATCCAGGGGGTGGTAAGAAGAAGAAGAAGAAGAAGAAGACTGGGCCTTGCGCGTGGTCTGTGCCATGCTCTGCTCGCGCGTGCCCCCGTGGATCGGCCAGAGAGCTCTCAGACCGTATAGGCCTTGAAGCGGCGCCAGAGGTCGGACCCAGGATCTCGACGGCGGCGCTCGAGGGAACTGCCAGAGTTCTCAACAGCTCGCGCTCCAAGGGCAACCCCAGGGCGCTGCAGGCTCCATTGAATGCTTGTTGCCTTGGAAACGGCCCTGTCTGTTCCCCCGAGCGAAGTTCACGAGACAGCTCAGGAAAACGTTCGCAACTGACCACCTTCTCGGCTCCCCCGCGAGCACGCAGGCAAGAGCCAGCGATGACGCAGTGATGAGACGGCGAAGGAGCGAAGCGATTGGACGGGACCCTCTCAAGTGCAGGCGCTGGGGGGGGGACGCCTGGGCGGCCCGAAGTGCCCTCCCCCAGAGGCGGCGAGAGTGTCGCTGCCAGTTGCGCGCCAGGTGAAGAGCAGCTTGGCTGTATCGTCCATGTTTCAGCTCAGGCGGCTTGGCATCTCAGCTTGCGTCGCGCGTGTCTTGCCAACTTCGTGTCCAACCGCAGCGCTCTTCCGAACTCCTCCATTCCTCCGCCTCCTCCCTTCCGCTCCCTCTCCCCCTGGTCCTCTTGAATGTTCACTCTGCAACGCGCGAGTACAATGCTACCCGCCGCCCAAAACTGATCAGTGGTGCACAGAGGCTGCGTTCCGGCGCGCGCGCTTTCGGCACACTTATTTTCCACATGTTTCTGGCCTTCGTTTTCGCTTCAATGTGTGCCGATGCGCGATGCGCCTTCCAGGCGCGGCTTCTTCCGGTCCCGTCCCGTCCTGCATCGTCCACGGGGAAGGTGGGACGCGGAAGGTCGTGCGCACTAGCACCATGTGCCCCCACCCCTACGAGATCCTTCGTTTTTTAAAGCAATCTGGAGAGAAGACGGGGGGAAAACAGGGGGGACGAGCCCTCGAAGTGCAACTGGAGAGAAGCGCCGCCCCGGAGCCAATCCGCATAGGCCCGAAAGAGACAGACCCGAACGCGGAGATGGGGATGACAGAGGCGGAAGAGACAGACCCGAATCCCCTCGAACTCTCTGGGCTGAACAACAAGACAATAGAGGCCTCCTAGATGGGGTCGGAGCAGATGTGGTCGGAGGATCGGCGATGCATCGGCGATGCATCGGCGATGCACCGGCTGCACCGGCGATGCATCGGCGATGCACCGGCGATGCACCGGCGATGCATCGGCAACGTCGACGTGAGGCAAATCGGGCTGCACATCGAGCCGCATCGGCGATGCATCGGCGATGCGGCGCGCCCCTCCGACACCATCTACTCCGACCCCATCTAGGAGGCCTACAAACAAGGTAAGTGCTCCTGAGGGCGCCCAGGCCCCAGAGTGCTGGACGCTCTTGCGCTCCGGGGGCGCTTCTAGGGATCGCCGCGTGAGGATCCCAGAGATAAGAGATCGCTTGGGAGGCGCTGTGTTGTTGACTGTGTTCGGCCCCAGGGGGGGGGGAACGCGAACTGGCCCGGGGAGCCCTCCAGCGCCAGGAGGCCCCGAGACCGCCATGAGGCGCCCAAGAGGCGCCCAGAGGCGCCCAGGAGGCCTCCAACAGACCTCCAAGAGACCCCGAAGAGGAGGCCACAGGCCTCCAAAAGGTCTCCCCAGAGGCATCCCAAGAGACTCCAAGAGGCATCCAAGATGACCCTGGCCACCAACCCAGGCAACGTGGTAGGATGGGCCAGAGGTTTTTTGTTAGTCAGGGGACGGAGGGCTCCTGGGTGCTCACAGGACTGCGTAAACTATACAACATAGCGCGGCAGCTGCGGGGATCGGGCGCGGAAGCACGAATTTGACGAAACACCACCTGTAAGAGCAACGCCAAGATCCGGCCAGCGCCGTTACGACAGAGAGCGTAAAATGCTGCACATGAGAATCTCTACGACGCATTGGCCGTGGGACGAGCTGTACAAGAGACCGCGCCGTAACGCGATGCTCGTGCACGCACTGGCCAGCGGGCCGGGGGGTGCGCTACCGGCAGTGTCCAATTCGCTTGCCGTCGCGGGTGGTCGCGGCTCCTCGAGCCAGCGGGTGCGTGCGCCCCTGGGCCCAAGCCTCGCGCTTGGCCGTCCGGTCCTGCTCATTCAGCCTGGCCAAGACAGAAGGAGGCACAGGAGGGACGTTGGCTAGCACCCATGCCGTGCACGTGGGGCGCCGCTTGTCGGACAAATGCGCGATGCACCGCAATCGCGTGTGAAAATTGGTGCCGCACGCAGGGCACACGCCAGAACCGTCGATATGTTGTTTGACGGCCAATCGGTGCCCATGATTGGCCCGACAGTGGCTGGCCAAGGCTCGCTCCGAAGGAAAACGCGCTGGGCAGACTGGACACTGGTGGCCCAATCCGCGCCCGGCACTGTGCTCCGAGTGTCCCGGTAGAGCGGCCCGGTCCAAGCAAGACTCATGAAAACATATATTGTCCAGGACTTGGGCCCACTTGGTGGCGTCCCGCAACAAACCAAGCCATGCCTGTGGGCCTTGCCGCAAGGAGGGCAAATCATGCACCAGGCCAAGAGAGCGCACGCGCTCGACATCGACCCGAATCGTCGCTAACCACGGTAGCTCTGGCTCCCCAGCGCCGGCCTGCAGTAAAGCTAAGAGGGCGGCCGGCCGGTTCCGGACCAGCCTGCCAAAATACCGCAAGCGCGCCACCATCATAATGCAACCGAGCGAGGGCTGCCCGAGCTTCTCCCGGACCTCCCAATCAGTCAGCGCCACGACCTTGGAGAAACGAGGGTCTCCTGCAATCCGCCGAAGCACTCTCATGTAGACCCCACACAAGCGGCGAAGAGTCTTGATGGGCAAGGTGCAGACATGGAGGTTGAAGGTGAGGCGGGAGAAGACGAGGCTACGCAAGAACGAGACCTTATACCTGTCGTTCATCAGCGGCGAGCCGAAGACCTTCCGGGAGATGGGCGCGTACGCCGTCATCGCAGACTGCGCCCTGTGAGCGGCATTGCGAAACGACATTCCGTACGCAGAGACCCACGTGCCAAGATGCTTGTACTCCTCGCACACGTGAAGGGAGTGCCCAGAATTCGGGACCGGAATGGCCAGGCTGCCGTCGGCTTGCCGCCATTTCTCCCGAACGTCCACCGAGTGCTTGCCCCGGAGAGCAATGAGGCCCTCGGTCTTGCCCTTGCTCCAATTGATCTCCAAGTGGAAGTCGCTGAAAACGCCTGTCCGGATCTCGAGCAAGACGTCGATAGCACGCGCCAAAACCCGAGGAGACTCGGACAGAAGGATAATGACCTCGTCGTCAACGAAGGTGGCGTCCACAATCTCGCATTCAAGCGGGTCGTCGGCGGGCGCAGGCTCCCAAAAAGCGCCAGGGGCCTGCGGGATGCGCAGGGTCAGGCCCTCCTGGCGCAATCGCCACCGGAGCATGTCTAGTGCCGGGGTGTAGGCCGAGTTGAACACGAGGGATCCTAGCTTGCACCCTTGACGCCCCCCCGTGTGAGAGGCCACGACGCGGTCCCCGCCTGGCACCTGGAACCACGAATGTTCGTGAAGCGTGCGGGCCATCTCCTTATCCTTGTGGTTGGCCCCCCATTGCTGCAGTAAGGGTCCGCGTTCTTCGATATACACGTGCAGCCACCGGGCCGCTCGCGGGGCGACTCCAAGCTGGCGGAGGTGGAACTCGCGGTGCTCACTGTCCACGCCGCCCCAGCCTATGACGAGTTGCCGGATAACCCTGTCAAAGGCTTTGGTCAAATCAACGAAGAGCAGAAACAGTGATGCATGCCACGCCTGGGCTAGGGCAGTGGCAGTGAGGACCATGTGCGTCGCGAAATCTGTCCCTCGCTTGGCCACTGCTCCGAATTGCGTGGCTGGCAGGTGCTCGTTGACGGTGGGCTCCAACGCGTCCTTGACGATGCCAGCCAAGCCTTTCCCAGCGTGGTCAGCCAGGAGGATGCCGCGGTGGTTGTCGCAGATTCTGCGGTCACCCTTCTGCTTGTGGAGGTGCGGGAGGAGGCCGCCGCACCACTGCAATGGCCACTGGCAGTTCTGAAGCACCCGCTCGTTGACGGAAGCGTACAAGGTTGCAGCAGGGCCCCCGCCAGCCACCAAGAGATGGGCCAGAGGCCACTAGATCCGCCGCCCCCTGTCGATTCATCGCAGGGGT